ATTTTGCCACAACTGTATCCGATACTTTATGAAACACTGGACGAGTTTAAGGCGCAGTTGCGTGAATGCACTCACTTACAACACATAATTGGTCAGAATAAGCAGCTACTGCGTACGAAGCCAAATTCGTCACCACCGGGCAGTAGTGTGAAAGAAACTAAACGTGGTTAGGATCAAGAAATCGGAATCACAATTACTCACACTAGCGTTTTTGTACATTAGGGTGTACCTTAAAATATCAGCATCTTGGGGCAACCCACGAACGGGTCGGTTCCAGGGTTTAAAGAATTTATTTATTTTTATCGCAAAAGTTGCACAACATCCTGACTTTGCCAAGCTATAACTGAGCGAGTTTATGAATTTATATCAATGAGTTTCAATGCGCTGAGTTATAGATGCTCAAAATCGAAATTTGGTCGAATTATTGTGATAAAAAAAAATGTCAAACCCTTAAAAATTATCTTGTCTTTATTTTGTACGTGGACTTAAATATACGGCTGCCCCGTGTTCGTACTTTAAGGGCCACCCTATTGTACATAACGTAGCAGTGAGCAGTGGCAAAAGGAAGAAGCTCCTAACCCTTTTGTAATGATTGGGTCAAAATTACCCAATTCTCATGAAAAATTTCTTTAATTACACAGTTAGGTAATTTTAAATAAGCTGCGGCGTTATCTTTACGTTTTGCAAAAAACAAAAGAGTTTTTTATTTTATTTTGTTTTCAAGAAGGCGACATATGTAGTTTTTCAAAACACGGGGTCATTATGGCCTAAATTATTATTTAGTATTTAAGGGCAACTTTGAACCGGTAAGCACACATCACTTGCCGATAAAGTGTCTGATTGTGATGAATAAAATATTAACTGATTGAAATGTCGTTTTTTTCATAAAATTTATTCATTTATATTATTGGCTCAAAATGACCCAAAACATTATAGCAAGGGGTAAATTCCAAACACTGCAGAAGGGTTAAGTTCACCAAAAATCAAATCAACAGTTATACAGGCATATGCATCTACATATATACATATGGGTCATTCCATACAATATTTACACCTCAATATTTTTTTGGGGTGAAATATATTTTTTACATACCTTATCGAAAAAAGGAGACACCTATTATTTTATTTTGTCATGATATTCGAAAACTCGAAAAAAATTTCCCGAAATTTTGAACTTACGGAGAAGTATCTTTTTTCAATTGCTTGCAGTTAATAAACTATTTGTCGGAGAAAATCTGTTAGGGTATCAAAATGTGTGTAATTACCTCGGCTTTCCATGAGAGTGTGAGATAGATTAAAAAAAATTTGCATTAAAAAGTCACATTTCTTATTTTTTATTAACTTCGCCATGTTTGATTTTTATTTTTTTCAACCCGAATAGTTGTCAGACTTTATGAAGTACGCTGTAAAAATTTGACAATGGAAACACAAAAATTGTAGAAGTTACGAGTTTTGGTGTTTCCATTCTCAAATTTTTACAGCTTACTCCATAAAGTTTGAAAACTATTCAGGTTGAAAAAAATAAAGATCAAACATAATGAAGTTAATAAAAAAATAAAAAATAAAAAATGCGATTTTTTAATGCAAACATTTTTATTTTATTTTAATCTATCTCACATTCTCATGGAAAGCCGAGGTAATTACACACATTTTGATATCTTAACTGATTTTTTCCGACAAATAGTTTATTAACTGCAAGCAATTAAAAAAAGATACTTATCCGTGAGTTCAAAATTTCGGCAATTTTTTTTTCGAGATTTTCGAATATCATGACGAAATAAAAAAATTGTTGTCTTCTTTTTTTCGATAAAGAATGTAAAAAAAAATATTTCGACCAAAAAAACAATATTGAGATGTAAATGTTGAATGGAATGACCCATATGTATTTGTATTAATTTTGGAAAAAAAACATATTTCTACCTGCAAAGTGCTTTCCTTCAAATGACAAAGCCACACTTACATACAAATGCGCTTCATCCTTTTCAGCAGAGGTTAATTTCCAAACGATTGTCTCAATATATTTTTGCTTAAATAATACAACTAAAAATATTAAATAACTATGACTTAAAATTTGTGATATTAAATATTTTTACTTTATAAATGCTTACATATAAGGCTTAAGGGGTTATATCCAACTTTAGTGTAAATATTTATATGTAAAAATGAATTTCGATACTTTTTTATATATACATTTTTGTAATAAAAACATTATATATACTATAACCAGGACCGTATTAATATCTGTGGGGCTTAAGGGTTAGAGGAAATGTGCAGTCCCTATAGCGATTACCCGTAGATTAAATGCAATGCGTTACCTGTTAAGCCCGGGAACCATTCAAGACAGCGAGGCTAGCGGAAGCCCGACAATGTTCGGGGGAGTAAGAAAAGTTATATCCTAAGTTAATATCGTACAAGAACTTATTTGTCCCGATGATGTAACGTGGGCCCAGAATAGCGAAGAATCACTCGCGATGCTACTCAACGCGCACACTTCCCAGTAGGAATCTCAGAGTCGGAGCCGACAGCTGATGGCAGCCGAATTGTCAGATCTGATTGTTGCATGTTTAGTAATTCCGGTCAAGATTGAAGAGGCGATACATACCTTCTCGGAATTAAAATCACCTAGCATAGACGGTATTTTTTACCAGACTAACTTCAAAAAGCTGGAAACTTATTTTAGAGTACTTTTGTGACCTATTCATAGCCTACATATCTACATCATGAGGAATGCACCAGTTGTCTTTCTGCCAAAAGCAGGTAAAAGCAGCCCTAAAGATTATAGGCCTTTCAGCCTAACACTCTTTCTAACGTAAAGGATGAGATGAGATTAAATGAGAGACAACTGTCGAGGCAAGGCTTTTTGCATCGGGGCAGACTTAGGTTCAGAACGTACGCTAACGGTAGTACGAACCGGGAGCCCATACGTCCTTTAAACTACCACATCGTTGCAGTATTTATTAATAAAGACAGCGACAGAGATACTAAAGATTAACCCGCCAAGCGAACTGACAAACATCTGTCAGGCGGCCACTAAAGGCGTATTCACCATTCGTGTCCGGACACTTTTTGTTAGTAATTTTACGCGTTCCTTTCCCACTTTGTCTCAATGAGATCGCGACCAAAATCTGCTGAACACTCTTTGTTCGAATCAAACTGATTTTGATTTTCCGTCCGACGGGATGATTTGAATTAATTTAATTTAATTTGTAAACCCCCTAAAAATATTTTAAATGTCCAATGTGAAGGTTTCTTAATAATCTTCCGTTTAAAACCTATATTTTAATTTTTCATATAGCTTGCGAATAATTAATTTCCATTTGACTTTTAAAACATGTGGTAGCCTCTTTCAAAATATTTTCAAACTACAACTTTTTCAAGCCACTTGACAACCAATTTTTTATATAATTTATAATAAATAATTCCCTTAATTTAAGTTGAATTTAATTTTTTAAACAGGTGGCAGCCCTTTTCTATGAATATGGGATGATTTCATATATCTCCATACTAAGTTGCAGTACTATATATATACAAATATTTTCTGAGATATGAAGTATAAAAAAATCCATTTGTTTGGGAGGTGCCACGCCCCATCTTCTAATTGAGATTTAATCTAACCTATATTTTGTTTTGGGCTAGATAAGACCAGATTACAAAATTTCATGATGGCCGGTTACGGATGCCGAAGGTATCTTGTATTGACATACTGGGTTAGGGACTCTCTTTATATATGTACCTACAGATCGCAGTGTCTCTTGTTTTGATATACACACACACTGGATTATTTACTACTAACTCCTACTCAACTGCCTCCAAAAGGAAGTTATGATACACATATGTTTTTTGATATTCTTAAAAAAAATAACAAAGTAATTTTTCAGCAAAGAACAAAACCAAAGTTATGCGGTAACATAGGTATTTACATAAAAAAAAAATTATTTCGATGAATTGATAACCTCCTCCTTTTTTTGAAATCGGTTAAAAAAGATATCCGCAAAGCACAGTTTTTTATTGCCATCTCAAAACGTGTAAAACTGGGAGCTTTCAAATGTGAAGATAGCAGCCGAGTTACACGTGTAAAAGTATCTATCAACGTAATGTGTAAATATGTTTATAGTTGCAGTGTGAATTAATTAAAGTGTCTGGAGACGGCAAGTAATCGTTGTAATACAGGCAATCTTCGATACAACAACTAGGCACGTAATTAACACATTTTTTTAAATTTATAGTAAATTAGCCAATGTCTGCTTGCTTCGTGGCGCCTGATAAGAACTTTTCCGTTGGCCAAGGCAAAAATAGCATTGAAAAAAAACACGCTTTTTAAAGTAAAAGCTCCTCGTTTAGGTTGAAACGACTAAAGAGCAGAGCGCTCCTCACATATAGGCCAAGACGAATAGCGCTGTGATATCAAATGGAATACTGATCGCTTTTGGATGTCATGAGCTCTGCCGATGGTCATATTTCCACCTTCTACTTCTATGATCTTGGAACTACAAAATTGATCCGATGCGTATTATATTATGTAAGCCAACTAAAATCATTTTAAGGACACTGAATAGTACACAGATGTGTGTTTTTGTTTTTTTTTTTTTTTTTTTTTGAGGAGGGCGAAGAATATTTCCTAGCTAATTCGCCACTTTTACAATTCTTAATAACCAGGCGTCCACGGACATATGCATATTAATTGATTTTCGGATCAGAGATGTAGGGCATTCAGCAAAGAAATTCGCTTTGTCTATGCCTGATTGCCACAGAAGGAAATACTCGTTGGTCCACTCTGAGTATTTGTTCAAAATCTCTTGCTGTCTCCTAATTGGCAAACACTTCTTCTTGATACACCCATGATGCGGTGCCTAGAAAATCTGAATGACCAGAGATTCCCTTGATACGTGAACTGGTGTCTTTGAGTTTTCTAGTTGCCTATAATAAGACCACATACGCAAGTTATAACCTTCGAAAATTTGACTAAAATCTATGCAGTGGTTTTTGAGTTAAGTCCGAACAACAAAAACGGCTATCATTTTATATATAATCGATTAGTTATATTTATTGAATATAGAAAGGTTCCGAAAAAAGTCAAGCGTTCGATTTCCTGTTACAACACACTCACATACATATATATATAAATATAAGTAGTATAACGAATCGTTGCATAGAAGTTCGTTATAAGGAAGCTGGACTGTATAGGTATAGTATAATTAATACCTTTACTTCGCTGATAAGTAGCACTGAGCAAATAAGTACATTACATTCTCAAACACTTTTATCTTTTTTTCTTATTTTGCTGCCTTTTTTGAAGGAATACAGTTGAAATAAAAAGCAAATAATTATATTTGTAATTTAAGCATTTATAAATATAAACTGATTCTGTTATATATATATGGGCAAATCTCCGGAACCGTGTGCTTTTGTTTCGCGCACCTTTAAACTAATTTTATTAATGTAATTTCCTTTTTATAAAAAACTTGGGTAATTTTGACAACAAATGTGGCGAGTTCTTGTAACTTGTTTAATTTTTTTTTATTGCAATAATGCCATTTTTATTTTTATAAGCAATCAAAGTAATTAAAATCATAATTTTTACGCAAAACGGAGACTTTCAATAATCATGGCGAATAGTAAATGTAATATTTGAAAATGCATTAGGCTCCTCATTGGTGATAAACTGT